CATACTGTTAGAACTATAATTACTTTGAGATGGAAGAAACGGGATATAATAACAAAAAAAAAACGGTATGATTGATAAATTACATCTTAGTGATATTTAATTAGTACTATGCTAATTTCAGTAATGATTTATTTTAAATAATGCATATTAATTTCCTCCTAATACTACCCTAGTCAGTCGAGGGCCATGTCATGTTTTTTTTAAGTGGTATCTACATTATATGTGTCACTGAGTTTGGCAGGGATGTGGATGAGATATGCGTTTTCCCAATTGTTATATCATTCATGATAATACGTAATACCCAACAATATAAGTTTATATGAAAATTAGAATACTAGTATGTGCAAATGTTGGCGATAATTTTTTTTATAAATATTTTGTTCGATATTGCATATTGGTATGTACCCTTGACTATTATATGATATATTGCAAACAATGAAAACAAAATTCAAATCCAAAATAAAATAAACGCGCATGCGCTTTTGAATGCTGGTACGTACCCGTAATACAATATCAAGACAAATTAACCAAGGTAGCACGTCACACACTTACACTATTTGAAGTTGATGAAACCTCGCTCCCTAACTCTAAATAAAAAAAATATCGAGTTATAATCTTGAATAGAAAACATAAACAACTTGAACATGTCATACCATTATTATCATAGTAGCTATACACATAAGGTTTGAATATTCAGGTTATCTTACCTCGATTGTTTTATTGATTGGTATCCATCCGCCAAAATCCGACAATTCAATTGTCGCGCCCTTGTACTCTTCAATGGATAACCTCTGCCACGCGTCGACCAGTTTACCACCAAGTTCAGCTTCCTGATTTTTAACAATCTATCAGAGTAAACGGGAAAAACAATCAACTAACAAATATCATATCTGAGAATGGAAGCGAATCATTTATATATTCAAGCAGTAATGTATATTGGATTGTCTTTTACTGCGTAAAATACGTCCTGGAAAAAATACGCACAGTTAATCACGAGGCGTCTGCGCATGTATGTATCGGTGTTTCATTGAACATATATTATTATAGGTATTGCAAACAACAGCGTGTTTAATTTTAGTCCATGCATGCAGCCTATTTGAATAAAATGAACTCACCAGTGCGCACGCTTCAGTCTCAGGAAACACGTGCACCCTCAGTTTAACAATCGGCGTCGCTCCTCCACGATCTTCGAGATACACTTGGACAAGGAATCGACCTTTCACGATAGTTTCGCCGTGCATGCCAATCACTTGATACAGCGTGAAGTGAGTGAACGCCACTGTGCAGTAGCCGTTGTTCCACACACAGTGTACTTCATTGGGAGTTGCCACTCTCCAGTCTGGTTTCTCGTCAGGTTGGGTATCGCTTCTCAATACCTGGAATGCATTAACGTCGCCGTCGATAGCCGATTTTATAGACAGGAGGACAGGTTTCTTGAAAGTCATACCATGTTGTCCACAGCAAATTACTGGGGACAGGGAAATCCCCTTTAACTTCATTTTTGTGCTTGGATATTGCCTCCTCTTAAGGGGGAGGTACATATATATCGGTTTAAGGCCTTCACCGGGTTCAATTGCGCCCGGTGTGACCAGTAATCGGATTTCGCCCTCTGCTAGAGACAGCTCGCCGCCCCTGTAGTCGAACATACCGCCGACAAAATTTGATGTTCTGTACATAAAGGTGTTCACTGTTTTTCTTCCGACCTTTCCCTCTCTCAGTGCTACAAGCTCATTGAACGTGCGCACAAGTTTTCTAAAGTTATCGTCATTGTAAGGCATATCACTTGATCGAAATCTCGGAACTTCTCTTTCACATGGCGCCGGACGCAATAGTTTCGGCGTCTTTTTACATGACGCATACTGCACTCTATCCGAGACATAATGACTTATTTTCGTGACTTTGGTGTCATCAACATGGATACTAGTTGACAAGTTTCTCGCATTACTCCTCTGCTTACCCTTCTTGCACAGTTTTGAATAGACGCTAGGCATTTTATATTAATATGTACACCCTACTGTTTATTTTATAACCGAAAATAAATAACGTGACGCGATGCGCACTTTAAATATCGGACGCATTGGCCTTCCCAGTACTCCCGGTTCGCATGGCCGCCATTTCGATTGTTTATTGGTCCAATCAATCGAGACAGTCCTCTGAAAATATATTTAAAATAATAATTATAGTATGAGTTCATCTTCCGTTTATGGTTTTTTAACTTTGTAAAGTTGTGTATCCCATTGTTGCCCAGTGAGTCATCGCCGTTCATTGAATTAGGTGAAAGGGTATTATATATATATATATACACAAAAGCCACACCACAAGAAATATAGTCATTGTACTTTTCGTGGAATCGACCACCAATTTGCTACGCAGTCTTTGTTTGATATAAACTGTAAAAAGCATTTTTTTCGGTTTTTCAACAGAGTATAAGTCCTATATTGACCTTAGAATAACAAAATGGCTGAAGCTGCCGTTGTTGGTGCATATAGGGTCCCTGACACGTTGGGTCTAACCAGTGTACAATACAAATTACGTGTAACCCACCTCGCTCGTCTATGATGAGCATAAGCAAAAACAGTACATTAGTGATTGTAGACAACATTTTGGAATATGTGAATTGTGCAGTGACGCAGCTCAGAATGATAAAAATAGCAAGTACATGAATACTAATAAACAACCCTGAGCTTAATCATAGATAATATTAGAAGGAAATATATATCTATATCTATTGATATCGCTTCATTATATATTCATATATGTATATGTCTAAATAGTTTCAAATAAATGTTTTATAACAACAATTTAGACCTTAGACGCAAATGACCGAGATCTTACTGAGAATGAGAGCCACTGGACTTAGTTTTCCCTCTAAATATCGCGTTATGATTCAAGTTCTCTTCCGTCATCGCTTCTACTGATCCAAAAATACCATTGTTATATAAGCCTTGTTCCCACTGGGTGAAATAAGGCGGTGTCGTACCGAAACAATATTTTCCCGTGTCAAGCGCCCATAGTTTAGGGCGGTGAACCAAACAAATCAAGTCAATCAAATTTGCAATCTATGACTGCTTCCGTGCCAGAGAAAATCATTTTAAACACACTATCAGCTGCCCCAAAGTAAATTAATATTTTTCAAAAGCATTTTCAGTCTTACTCGTGACAGTGACTGGTTGATAGTCCCAGGTTGATGTTTAGAGGTTACCCAAAAATTGCTTACAGTATTTTGTTTGTTTTTTCGTTTTTGTTTTCAATAAAATTAAATATTGTCTGAGTGTATAAATGGCAAAACCTGGGTATACTCAAATAAATTTATTTTGTTGAAAAATACACACTGAACGAATTCGGTTTTCTGTTAATATAGTACGTTATGACATTTTATTATATAATAGTAATCCACCTAATCCATGGCATTACAATGGACGCTAAACACCGACGGAATCAACGTCCTGTTTTGTTACACATGAACGCGATGGTATTTCAATTGACGCCGATAGATAGAATGACATAAGAAACCACGGTCTATTTATGCACAGTGAACCAGTTTTTGTAAATTGTCGCAAGTTGTTTACTTAATAATTGACCATTTTACCCCATTACACACCGTGACGATAAATGTATATACAACAACATCTCGCACCAAATTCAACAATTCTCGCGAATGTTACAGCAAAACCGGGAAATACCCTTGCTAGTACGCATGTGCGAAGTGGTCTTGCTCTCACGACATTTAATACCGACATCGCGCTTCCTATATACTCTGGGTATCTTTTTCACATTATATAATCGTACAGGAAATATACGCCATACTGCTATTATTGACCAGTATATGGTTCTTATTAAAATTAGCAGTAATAGCAATGTTTGGAAAACTTGATGGCGAAATAATTCACACAGACACGACGCGGAACCAAGAACGCCACAGTACCTGGCAATTTGCCAACTTAAAATGTACAAAACATCATGGTGTTTCGATTGATTCAAACGCATATACACAGTAATAATATTGCATTGCAAACACAGATTAGGAATCGATACCAGCCAGTATTTTTTTATTACGTAGCAGCTCCATCTTTTCATCACAAAATAGTTTTTTTTTTTCACAATTTGCACTTCCCTTCAGAAGATTGGGACAAGAAAAGCCATTTTTTTGAGTAAAAATTTAAAATAGACGCAAATTTTGTCTGTTGGCTCAAAAATTAGGGTTCATTTCTAGAAAATGTTGGGCGAGAGAGTCTGGTGGAGATAAGGTTATGCGGAGGTCTTTCGACACAGTTTCGCTTAGCGGTATCCGTTGATGCCGGTCTACTGTAAGGAAACCTACCTACCTTATGCCAACGCTGGCTGTTTTTACTCGTCGACTGTTAATGTGGAGAACTCAATATATACATATAGGATATCAAACTTAAGGAAAACAAAAAGAAAACAAGTCTAGAAGCGTAAAAACACAAACTGCTTAAACTATAGGTTGAATGGGGGGAAATTCCCTTCTAATAATAGTCATGATCAGCAAGGGGAATTCCCTATTCAGTATTTTTTTGCATATTAGTACTTGTTTTTTTTTTATCATTCTGAGCTGCGTCACTGCACAATTCACATATTCCAAAATGTTGTCTACACTCACTAATGTACTGTTCCTGCTTATGATCACCATAGACGAGCGAGGTAGGTTACACGTAATTTGTATTGTACACTGGTTAGACCCAACGTGATATATGCACCACCAACAACGGCAGCTTCAGCCATTTTGTTATTCTAAGGTTAATATAGGACTTATACTCTGTTGAGCTCGAAACCGAAAAAAAATGCTTTTTACAGTTTCTAGCAAACAAAAATCGCGTTGCGATTTGGGGGGAGGGGGGGGGGGTGATTCCACGAAATGTACAGTGACTATACATTGTATTTGTTTTGTAAGACTTTTGTCATTATTTTTACAGCATGGACACTCCGCGTCTAGTCAATCGCCAAGGTCAGACGATTAGAAAAAATCCACTAAGGAAATCAAAATGAAAGAGACCACTATATTTCAATTATTCACAAAGTCACGAGTCAACACCATGCGCTGGTGAACGTAGGAAGTCATATTACACCATAATTCAGATAGGTCATTATCAATGAACCACCACTAAACCCAGTAAATATGAACACATATTGTCGCATTGTTTTTTTTTTATTATTGGCTATATGAATTGGAACTTATTATAGTCAGAACTTCACAAATCGAAACGAGGGTGTTGCAAACGTGTAATAACTGGAAACTAGAAACGGTGATATTGCACAATCATCGGAAATTACGTAGACTGAAGCGTTTTGGTTAACACGTGTATGTTTGCGCAATGTACAACTTTTAACACCGTTGGTAATGTAATATGCCATTTATTTTAAAAGTAAACACGTTTCATTTTAGCCGAGTCATCTATTTTACCGTGTTCAAAGTTAAACGCAGGAATGATTCATACTCACCCACATTACATTCCATGACATAGGGAACCAAACATGCCTTTATTACTCATAATGGAGTTTCAGATCCGCCATGACGCTGCTGCCACTTAGCACACGTTAAGTACACTGAGTACTGTAACTCACAGCCATGTTGCATCATACGTTGTCCTAGGTTATACAATGGAATTCACGTACGCCCACCAATCATACATCTAGTATTAAATGCATTTTTGTCAACGGCACGTATACATTTACTCACACACGGAACGTGGTCCAGTCTACTGTAGGATACCAGGCTCTTTCGCTACTATGCATATATGCGCGGGCAAGGGCATATAACTATGTGGTGCTGCAATTGACGGTGTATGGAATCACGGTTACTAAAAAGATAGTAACCGTGATGGAATTCACGACATGTTAGATTACATTGCGCGAAAAGAAAACACTCAATTGTGTTCAAGTGCGTGTCCATGTGTGAACAGTGACAAAATGACAAAACAGTAGGTGTGCCAAATCAACAAACGTATCAAACAGTTGCTTATACTCGTAATTGTATGCTATACTTTAAATGTATTTGTATGTGTTTATTTTGCACTACTAATCGAATCACAGTATTTAATAAAAACAAATTTATTATAATTATTTTAACTCCGTCTACATAATATATTATTAGCATAATGCAATCGTTCATTCAACTGTAGGTGCCAGGTTGCGGTTTATCGATCATAGTGTTTTGATTTAGAAAACAAAAACTAACCGTTACATTGTAACAATAATTATCTGCCGTAGCATACTGTAATGAGTGAATACTCCGATATCAGACGACATACAGCGCACCGACATTAACAGCTTTATCATTATGGTGACATGGTTGACATGGTTACCGACACATTTGTGGTGCATTCGAATTTCATGTATGAACGAGATACTGAATTGTTCGAGTTACGAACATCGAGTTACAAAAATGATCACGCCCATATTTTAGAAACCACTTCCACTTTTGAGAAACCACGCCCAAATCGTAACTCGATGTTAAAGCGGGGAGGGGGGAGTCGTCACCTGCGCATGCGTCAGATGGCCATAGCGTGTCATTGTTTACAAACAAGCGTCTACCCATGACCTTTGCGCTTTTAAGGTGTTGTTATCGTCGCTTGGGACTCAATCCCCGCGCGTGCACACGTGACGACCCTCCCGCTTCACAGTAAACAAAACTTAGAGTTTCGGCAATATATATTTTTGTTTAGTAACTAGAAATTTAATTCAAAGTTAAACAAACTATGATCCAATATAGACAAAGCTCCGAAATTTGAACACAATCTAGCCAAGACTGTCTGAGTGAGAAAAAGCAAAAAAAAAAAAAACCTCTGAGTACTCACGAACCTGCATCTCTACTTTAAGGGCAACATATATTTGTTGTTTTGTTTAACACAGTTATCTTAAGGGCGAAGTTCTGTTTGCTATTAATTGAACGTCGAGTTATAATTTGGGCGTGGTCGTGGTCATTTTCGTAACTCGATGTCCGTAACTTAAATTATTCATCATCTCCATGTTA